TGCTGCTGCTGCTGTTGTTGTTGTTGTTGTTGTTGTTGTTGTTGTTATTGAACTCTCATTTCTGAAGAAGAAATATTGTTGATCTCGCCTCACCAGTGCAGACTGTTGTTTCTCAATCAAAGTGTGCCCCTCGACGCTCGCACCCTGTTTTTTGGCAGGGAAAGTCTTGATGCTCAAACTGCGCCCCTGACCCCCCGGATTACAACAACAACGGCTCCCGCTTGAGAATTCCTCCAAATTTACTCAGGACCCCCGCTCCCGCCTGAGAATTCTTCACAATTTACTCAGGATCGGTGCTCCCGCCTGTGACTTCGTCGCAATTTAGTCAGGACCCCCGCTCCCATCTGAGACTTTCTCACAATTTGCGGTGCTCCCGCTTGAGACTTTCTCGCAATTGAGTCAAGACTTCCTCGCAATTTAACCAAGACCCCCGCTCCCGGCAGAGAACCCTTCACATTTTATTCAGGAATTGCGCTCTCGCCTGTGACTTCCATGCACTTTCTTGAGTTATTCAGAAATTGCGCTTTCGACGCTCAGGAAACACGCTGCGCCAAGGACGCCGTCACAATTTATATAGGAAATGCGCTCTCGCCATACTCAGGCATCCCGCTTGAATGTCCCACCTGCCCGACCCGCCCGTCAGGGGATCGCCCGCCCGTCGTGGGCTCCCTCCCGAGACTTCCTTCAGGAACGGCGCTTTCGCCTAGGACTTCCTCGAACGTTCACGCTCTTACCTTCCTGCTCCTCCTCCCTCTCCCTCCTCCCTCCTCCCTCCTCCCTCCTCTCCTCCCTTCTCTCTCCCTCCTCTCTTCCCTCATCCTATGCCTCTCTGCCCTCTCCCCTCTCCCTCCTCTCCCTCCTCCCTTCTCCCTCCCCTCTCTTGCTCGTCCCTCCTTTTTTTTATTCTCTCTCTCTCTCTCCCCCTCTCTCTCTCTTTTTTTTTTTTTTTTTTTTGTTCTCTCTCTCTCTCTGCCTCTAATCAACTGCCCCCCTCTTCGCTCCTTCTCTCCTGGCGTTTTCCCTCTTCCTTCGTCCCTCCCCCTTCCTTCCTTCCGCTCTCCCTCGTTCGCCCCCTCCTCTCTTTGCAGGGCCCACACCAATTCCAATGGTGGGCACATCTACGCCCACGAAGGATTGTTCGCCCGTTGAGATTTGCCCGCCTGTCTAAGCCCGCCGCCCCCCCGCAAAGAGAAATAATCCCCCCAAAGGGGGTGTGATCGAAGACAAAAAAGGCGGGTATCGAGGGTGTGGGGAACTCGTTCTGAATGTCACGAGCAAATAAGAGCGAACAGTCTTATAATGATTGCTGTTGTTGTTTTTATTGCTGCTGCTGTTGTTGTTACTGCTGGTGATTATTATTTTCTCCCGTGTTAGAGGAAGTCGGGCGCAGCAGGGACTTCTCCCCGCCCACGCTCGACTTGTGGAAACCCAATCATGGAGAGGAAACATGCTGCCAAATACTCTCCAGATGTTTAAAAGATGCTTCAAACATGTTTTCGATATGTACAATACGTGTTTGACACATTTTTAGAGCATGCCTTCCACATTTTAAACACATCTTTAATTCAATGATCGGATTGTTAGAGTGCGCATTGTCATGGCATCCACAACGCTCGCCCTCACTTTCTACGTCGGCGGCTAGGCAGAGGGACTGCGCTGGCGAGTAAAGCGAAACGGGGCAACGTTAGGCTTATGTCGGGCACGTCCTTCTACAGGAGGAACATTCAAACATAGTCAGAAAATAGTCTTGGGAACATTTCCCGACCATTATTGGATAATTTGTTGGGGCATGTTTTGGAGTATGTGTTTGTTTTTCGATTAGAATCCACCTGCAGGGGGACACGCCCGACCTAACGTAAGGCAGGTGCAGCCACCACGCAGGAGGTAAAGGGGTGAAGGGCGACGAGGCGACGGCCGAGGAGAGGGGAGGGGCGGAAGCCGGGCGCTCGTCCTCGCACGGGGG